CATTTGTCTTCTTCAAGGGAGGCTGCAAAGAGACTCTGCAAGGCTTCCTTGGGGTTACCGGGCTACAAAAATCCGGAGGACCCCCGGGGGCAGCTGAGAGCCGCAGCCCTGCAACCTCGGCTGCCCCCTGGCGCTTCATCAGATCTCTGTCTTTGGCATGCAGGTCAGAGCTGGGTCCTGGCACGGGGTGCCCACGGTTTATCATTTTTATGGACCCCCAAGAGTGGCGAGGTGGGACCGTATATCGATTAAGCAGAGGAAGGTGTTAGTGACACCTAACCTCGGCGGCCTCCAGCTCCTGAATGAAACTCTGCGTGCGCCGCTGGCTTTGTCCGCAGGTGCTGCAGACATTCAGCTGAAGTTATTTAACCCCGTTGCCCATCTAAGACTCGTCCCATGAAGCCGAATCTGGGAACCTCACGTGGGTCGCCGTGCAGTTCTGCTGGCAGCAGCGCGGAAGGGAGGTGCCTCTGCCTCCTTCTGGGCGGGCATTTTCTCCCTTCCCAGTCTAATCGAGAGTCTAAATAAAATGCATTGCAAGTTTGCACCCAAATTAGGCAGGCCCGTGAAGAAAAACGGCGTATTTTTCAGCATTTTTTAACTCAAGGGGCCTGTGGAAACTTTGAATGGATTGCCTGAAATTTGGCCCGTTTATGGGGCTATAGCCATACGGTCCTGGAGGGGGGGGGGGGGGCACAAAGGAATCCACGGGTGCCTGGGAGGCAGCTGCGGAACAGGTCACAGACTATTTGGGCTTATAATGGCAGAAACATTAATGGTTGAACTTTTAACCCCCTCATTGACAAACAACACAAAAGAAATAGAAAATGTGAAGAACATAAATGAATAAAATATCAAAAGATGCGTCCCAATCCATGGGAACAATGGTGCAGTTTACTCAACTGACGGTGAGTTAGGCGGTGGTCCTGATGTCCCCCAATGTGCAGTGTGCGTGGTGAGTATCCATGCGTGTGCACAGGTGCAGATGTGACTTGCGTCTCAACTGCCTTCAGGGCACCCTTTTTTAAAACTGTTCAGGTTCTGAGATGCCTTCGAGGCCTGCCAGCTCCACCGGTCTCATCTGCCGCACCAGAAATCTGCCAGGGGCAGCCTTTGCTCCCAGGCTGTTGCGTCCTTCCGGAGAGC